GAGACCTTCAGCTTTCCTCACTCCGGGTCTTCTCTAGCATGTTGCTATTGGTTGACACGTGATCTGCACTAGGTGCTGGGGATAGAATCTTAGTCGAAATTAGGCAGCCCCTGCCCCATATGTTATCAGAGAGACAGACGAGAAACATCTAACCGTGCTAAGTTCCAGAAGGGAGGAGCACGATGAGAGGAGCTCAGAAGACCCGACCTGCAGGAGGTCAGGGCAGTGGGAATGGGTGCTGACTGCAGAACAGTGAGCAGACAAAGCAGTAGCTCTCCATCACACATGAGGCACTCTCCATGGTTTCCTGACTCATGGGTCTCTGGGGTGAAAAAGTCACATCCTGGAATTGGCCAGGAGGACCAGAATCGTCTTGAGAGCATCAGAGCTGCTGGACTTTCTCTAGGCAAGTCCTGCAGCCCAGAATCGACAACCCAGGGCAGGTGCTGATCATGACTTCTGAGAGGACTCGGGGCCCACAGCCTGACACTTGGCAAGAGAATATGTTTGAGGGGCACCTCCGTTCCCACAAGGAAATGTCACCTGCCTGGCATGAAAAACAACAGCTTCTTGCATCAGAAGGGAGGCAACTTCCGAGGGACAGGAAACTGTCCCACATTCTCCTGATTAGAGAAGTTTCCGATCAAGGTGTTGGAGCTTATTCCTTGAGCTCTCCCTTCAGCCCTTTTCTCCGCCCACCTCCTCCTGAGGTCGGGACTCCCTCCTGGGTGGTAATGGCTGTGGTGGGCACAGCTGGCTGCCACTCTCATCTGCCCATAACTGAGCCAGGGTGGTAGGCAGGGCAGGACTGGCGTGGGCAGTGTTTGGGAATGCCCAGTGGAGCCAGGGCTGTGTATTTCCTGAGAGGAGTATGCGATTATGCAGGTAGGTGCATTTGGCTTTGTACTACTTCCGTAGTTAATCGCCTTGACTTTCCTGCCTTCTCTTTTCTGGCCTTCTGCTCCTATTATGTAATCTAATAGCTGCTTCTTTTTTTTTTTTTATGGCTTGCATCTCAAAGACTACATGCTATGCATGTTGGTTAGACTTAGGAGGGTTTTTTGTTGTTGTATTTTCCTGAATCCAGGAATCTGAAAGTTAAATATTTTCTCTGCTTAGTACGTTTTCTATTTAACTCTCTCCTCTTATAGGCCTCCCAGTAAAGGTGGATACAGGAGACAATGTGTGGGCAGTGAGAAGCAAGCTGAGCCAGCTGTAGTTTTAGATCCTGTTTCCACACATGAACCCCAAACCAAAGACCAGGCTGCTGAAAAAGACCCAACTCAATGCAAGGAGGAAGGAGGTGAAGTACAGCCCCAAGACAAGGAGGACAGCCATGGGAAAGCGGGAGAGACGGACAGTTCCAGCTGCTGATCTGAAGCCAGAGGCCTGCGTGTTTGCGAGTCCTTGCCCAAAAGCACGTGGCTCATTTGGGTTACTGTCAAGGTCCGCTGGACACTTCCTTTGTTCTGGCCACACACTTCTTTGCTGGTATCACTTGTAAGTAGCAAGTATAAACATAAGTAAGCTGTTTAGCAAGATGCATCTTCTGGGTAGTATTTTTTATCTTTATGGGGTAAGGGTTCTTTCTGGTTTCTATGTCAAGTGTGACTTCTTCGAGAAGGTGGCGGGAAACTTGGGTGTTGATGTCTTTGTTGGGAATTGTGCACAGTACTCTTCAAATGTATCTATGATGAAATTCAAGGTGGCTGCCAGAAACTGGGTAGACAGAGGCCACCAAACTTTAATCCAATCCTTCTGCGTGCAGCCCTAGCACCAGGGAGACAAAGGCAGGAGGATTGCTTGAGCCTGGACTTCAGTTTGGGTCACATTGCAAGACTCCATCTAAAGAGTCTTTATTCTCCACCTAACGGCTCCCTAAAGGAGCCTCTTTGGGGTACCGCTCTTTGGATGGGGAGACTGAAGCAGCCTGGAAGTCAGTGGGCCCAGTAGCATCTCTGTTTTGTAGAGTGCTATAGGGATATTTTGTTTATGGTCTAACAAAGTTTGCCTGATGATCAGAGAAGCAAAGCAGCCAAGCTACTAGAGAACTCTTAACCTCTATTGAACAGAGCAAGTTCCTATCTCATCCTGCTTTATATTCCTGTCTAGTGCTGGGATTAAAGGCGTGCACCACCACAGCCTGGCCTCTGTGGCTAACTAGTGTGTCTGCTGGGATTAAAGGTGTGTGCCAGCACTGCCCAGCCTGTGTAGCTGACTAGTGTGGCTGCTTTGCCCTCTGATCTTCAGGAAAACTTTGTTAGATCATAAACAAAATATCACTATAGGGTGTGCTGAGACCATCCATGGGAGAGCTCCAAGGCGGCAACCAGCTTCAAGGTCTCTTAGCATGTGAAAAACATGCCCCGTGTCCAAGGCTTGCCAGGGATTTCGGGGTTCCTGCTGCTGAATAGAGCAAACCTTGAGTTTAAAAAAAGTACCCTGGCAAACCATATACTCCTGTGTTTTCCTACACATTCCCATGGCACAAGCACCATATTTTACTCCAGATTTTACACACAGTGAAGATAAGTGACAAGCACACTTTTTTCCCTTGCTTCACTGCCGTACTATATTACATGGGTCTTTTTTGTTTTGTTTTTTAGAGGAAATTAAGAGGTAGTTTCTAAAAATACAATGTTTCATACTACCACAAGGAATAAATAGAAATGTAATCAGGGATTAAAAAAAAACAACTTATGCAGGTTTTCAAGTCGATTGTTTCAAAATTGGTGTTTATTTAAAATAAGTGGTAATGTACTTGAATGCACTTTTTATGATAATGACTCAGTAATGGTAATTTTACTATTAAAGCAAGCGAAAGGCTTAGTTTTGTTAGCATGACTCAGCATGTAGTTGTCAGGTGCTTAGCACCTGAGGGCAGAAGAAAATGATAGTAACAGTTGAAGTAGTTGTGTCCTATTGTGTTTGCACACGTGCTGCTAGCGCAGGCTTGAGCAGTGGGGAGGCAGGTGAGAACACTTCCTCACTGTGGAGACAATTCTTTCTGTAGGTTCATTAGGTTTTACTGTTTCCGTGGTCCTTCAGTGCTGATTTTATCGCTCCCTGTCAGTTTACTTATGGGGAATTAAAACGTGATTTTTTTTCCCAACTGTGTGTTTCCATAACTGAATGATATGCTCACTGCAAGTGGATTCATTTGTTCAGATGGGTTCCGCTGTGCTGTGATTTGAACTCTCCTCAACACAACACATTAAAAGAGACACACAACGATTTCTCATTAAGGGTCAGTTGTGGTTATTGACATCTTGAAGTTCTTCAGCCTAGAGGGACACTTAATAGAATTCTGCTTCTTGTATGCTAGGCAAACTTCCAGCTTCCAGTCTACCTGCCCAGCCGCAGACTAACGCAGTCCTGCACAGTTTGGTCCAAGAGTGATATGATCGGGTAACATCAGGAGTCTTCGTGAGCCGGCTCGCTTTGAGCAGCTCTCTTCCGTGTTTTCTGAGTCTACCACCAGGTTGTTGCTGTGTATTTCACACACATCTGGCAATATGAGAGTAGGCACACCACCTTTCTATATTATTTCATCACAAGTATCAACAGAATTAACACAGTTTAAAAGCAGCCTCATGTCCAGCAGAAGTTAACCACGAGGCTCGACCAGGTGTCTAGCTGTGCCTGGTGTTTTCAAAGCATCTTTGCCTTCCGTACTTTTGAAATGGGCCTGCCTTCCCTGCACCACAATGGCTTGCAAAGAACTGCAGTACACAGGTATTTGATGTAGACCTTTGCTCACTCTTTCCTTACAGTTTTTTTATTTTTATTTTCACCTCAGCTTTAAGGTTCAGCCCTTTGCAGGGTGACTGTTGGCAAAGCAGGTGGTGTGTTTGTTCTGTCTTCAAGGTGAGCTTTTGGATGTGTGCGCTCAACTCTTGCAGTCTTCAAGTTGGGAGGAACCACACATTTTTCCCTAGCAGGACATTCATTCTGTTTTGAAGATATGAGATGTGTCTCTGCTGTAGCTTTCTTGACTGCTTCTGACACTTGTGTGGCCACAGTCAGGCGCGGAGAGATGCGCCAGCCCTTTGTGCTACTCTATAAAGGATGAAGTCTCTCTCCTCTGCTGGGAGAGGAAGGACTTCATTAAGATGCCTGCAGCCCTTATGTCTGAGCAAGTCCCACACAAAGTCAGTCATTAGTTTTCCAGCTTGGGGCATCTGCTTGACAGGGTTGGTCTGCTTAAACCGTGTGTGTGTGTGTGTGTGTGTGTATGTGCACATGTGTGCGTATTATGGCTCTGCCAAGTAACTCCTTCCCTACTTTCATGAACAGTAAGAGGGTTATTGCACAGGGAAGGTCAGCATGACCGTGGGTCATCTTTCCAGACTACTTTAGGTTGCCTGTTGGCCAAGCGACAGCTTGTACCACAGTCTTACACACATCCTGGAGTGCTTTTGCAAAGACCCACTATGTTCAAATCACCTTCAGCAGAGAGCAACTTGGACGGTTGTGGAGGATGGGTAGCCCATTTGTTACTGTTATAGAAGCCCTGGAATGGCTTCATATCCATCGCACGGTCATTTTTAATCTAGGCTATGATGAATTCCTTTCATCTCTTTATAGATGATGTTATGCATTTTATCAGCAAGGGAAGAATGGGGAGAGAGAGGGAAGGAGCATGCAAATAAGAAAATGAATAAACAACAAAGAGAGGCAGTGTTTAGCCCTCTAAGAAAAGTACACCTAGCCGTTGGTGCACTGTCCTTGAGCAAAGCTAATATGAGCAGAGTGCATTCTGGGCCGACTCCAAGGTACTGACCTGGTCGTTATTTCGCTCTGGTTTCAATGGTTAGAATTTATATCCATCGCAAGGCATACTCATGTCATGAGGACAACTGCCAGGGCCAGGTAAACACTTCCTCTTCCCCATCCTGACTTTAAAATGGATTTTCCTTTCAATTTCTTCTGCCCCACTGTTTGTTGTTAAGTGTCAGGAGAGACAGTGGCCACCACAAACTGTGACACATTTTCCCAGGCTTGGAATGATGCTTACCAGTTCCCCATGCCATGCTTCAAAGAGACTGCCACTGAGCCAATCTCAAATCGCAGTGCTGAGAGGGAGGGGGCTGGCTCTCCCATGAGGACATGATGTTCCCTTGGTCATTCTCCTCAAAACAGACTATTTAAGCTGGGACTGAAATGATTGTGCTGCAGGCCAAGACCCTGCGATTTATGTAGTCTTTAGTTACAAACAGCCCTTGTGCTAACTCACCTAACAAAGGACGTGATAATGTAAGGGGTTGGCTACTATTGTCTCCCTACTTGAATATTCACTTCAGTACTAAAAGCTCAGCACTGACTCACAAAAGAGGTGAGTCTGTCAACATGAATTTGTCATCATCGTTTTAACCACTTGCTGCTCCTTTCTTCATGCTGTGGTGTAAATAAGAGGGCACTGGACAATGCTATGAATATCCATTTGCAAATGTGCTTATTAAGTTATACCCAACTCTGTTCCAGAAAGGATCTAAGTAGAAAGGTCATACGGGAATGACGAAAACCTGAGAGGAAAGGATGGGTGGAAGGCAATCAAGAGTAGGAAGATAAGAGGAAAGAAAGTGTTGCTGCAGACAGCCCTGTGGTGCTTGGCGCATGTGGCTGGCTATGAAAACCATCTGAAGTTAGCAGAGGTACTAATACAATCAGTGGATGCCTGTGGGGCACTGGGAGCTATCGAAGGTGTTCTGACTTGAGAAGGGTACGGTGCCTGACTGAGTATGGGCCTAGCATCACACTGTATTAGCCTCTAATGAAGTCAGGTCAGGACCTTCAGATTTAGACAGTAGAACCTGTGTCCCCATGGCAATGTGATGGCTGTAAAATAAAGTTCACGGAACTTAAGGTAAAACCACCAGGGGTTTACTTTATCCAATGGTGAGGCTGAAAGAATAAAATGCATGCCCAAGCTGGTGGAGCTAGGAGTCGAGCCAGCGTGGAGACACCCTTCACGCCGGCTAGCCAACACTTGTGGTATTGCTGCTCCGGAGTCCAGCCCCAGGAGGCTCATGGCTGAGCTGATTCCTCCACAACTTCTGTAGGGAAGATGGAGTCCAGGGGCCCAAGAGTTTCCTCTGCCATTGTGGCAGTAGCCTCTGGTGTCTTTTCAGCATCCTCTTGGAAGGAAGAAAAATTGTGTTCTTCACTGAAACCTATTTAAAATAAATAAATAAGGTTTACATCCTGACCAGTGGCCCTGATTTCGATGTTGAGTGTGGCAGGATTAAAAGTCATCACCAGACCCATCCAGAAAGGATCCAGATTCTCAGAAGAGCCTGTCGCTTGCTCCGGTCTGTTTGTGTTACACCTACTGTGACATTCAGGGCACTGATATACACCAGAAAAGGCCACCCCTGCACATGAATACAGAGGAGCATACCAGCCACCCCAAAGGAAACCGTGGCAAACAGGGACCATCCTAGGCAGAACCACATATAGTAACAACCATACTTTAGTGGCTGACAGTTTGCCAAGATTGCTTCCTCAGAAGTGGGAGTGGAATTGTTTGTTTTGCTAATTCGGGGTGTTCTTGGTGTTTGCCTAACAGCTTTAGAGAAATTCTCACTAATCGCCCTAATCCATTCCAGAATGCCAGGGGCACTGGCCTAGCTCCTAAGAAGTGGCTGGGCCTCCGGTGTCCCAGGGTTCTTTTTGATGGTCTGAAGCGGTTCTGGGGGACTGGAAATTGGAGAGGTCTTCAAAGGCCCCACAGTCAGAATGAAAAACAGATGAGATGATATTTAGAACAGTAAACAACACAGACTAACTCTAGACTGCCTTTAAAAGTATTAGTTAGCTTCTCTCTGACAGAGACACAAGAAGCTCCCTGTGCAGATTTACCAAGTTCGGGTTTCATAAGCCATCAGTTCCTTTCTTGGGGTACCTTATCCTCTCTGGGGTACCGCGTTAGAATCAACATGCTGCCTACTTGTGGGACACGAAACAAGTTGTTTTCAGAAGGAACACATCTGCCTTTAACTTCCAGGGACAGCCCGGCTGCAGAAACCTTAAGTATAATTTGGGCCATAACAAAAGGCAGGCTTGGAGATTCCAATCAATTAATTCTATTGAAAAGCACCAAGCAGCCCATTCAGCCAGGAGAAGGGTGGTGAGAGTCTTAAGCATTCAGGTAAATAGATAATCCATTAAGCCAACAATGGACATTGTGGCGAGTGCCATCCTGCTCTTGTCAGTGCTGATTTGTAGTCTTTGGATTGTCCCGCCCTCCTGCTGAGGGACTTCTATTCCCTCCCTTCCACTCTTTGTTCCCTTATTCAGGGCTAAGGGAAAACAAAGCGAGAAAGCAGCGCCTACCCAGTGTTCCACTCTGGATGAGTTCTTCCTCTATAGCAAGAAGGCGGTTGTATTTGGTCACTCGTTCACCCCGAGAAAGACCCCCCAACTTGATAAACCGGGCGCCGAGTCCAACAGCCTGAAGTGGGGAAAACAACTTATTTTAAACAGCAGAGTTTTGGTTTTGAGCAGTGCTTTAACGAGACAGGGAACCGCTGCAGGACTCTGTTGAGGGGGGTTTCTCTTCATCTTTGTGGGAGTAAAGTGGCCTGCTGGCAAGCTGAGCACTGAAGGGCAAACAGATGGTGTGCCTGACAGACCATCAGGCACTTTACGAGTCTTGAGAGTGCGCCGATTTCATCGGAACACGGCCTGGCCTTTCGCACCCCGTCTTGGGCACGGGGGGGGGGGGGGGGGGGGGCGGGGGGGAGGCGGAGATTGCAAGTGTACACCCCAGTCATTTTATTGTGCCCGCCATTTTCCCTGAACTTCAATTTTGCCTCTTTTAAAAAGTTCAAAGATTAGCGCTTTGCAAAAGGGAGCTGTCTGGGAGGAAGCAAGTCTATTTCATAAAAGGTTACTCGACTTTCTCCACCAAAGACTGCATTTCCCTGAAATACCGATTCATCATAAAAGCGGTATTTTGGCAATTCCGCAATTGACCATCGCTCTGCACTTACCAGATCGACAAGGCTGTCATCAGAGGACTCTGCCTCCGTGCTCCCGAAGACAGCAAGCTGCTTTTTACCTGCAAGAGCAGCCCCCGTCAGTCACGCATGACTTACAAGAAGTTCACACTCATGGGGGACTCTGACCAAAACGACAACTTTCCCCGAGATTTCAGAGTTTCTGGGGAAGGAACCCACGGTCTAACCACTTGAGCATTCTCACCCAAGCATCTGTGGCTTTATCTCCCTGGCTTTATCTGTTCAGTTCCCTTCAGTGTCTTACGTGCTAATAAAAAACAAAGAGGGGCAGAGGAATGCTCCTAACAGCACTTGCCGCACAAGCGTGAGGACCTGAGTTTGATCCCTGGGGCCCCCGGAAAGCTGCAAATAACACCGCTAATGTCTGTAATCCCAAGGTACCGTCAGTATTTCTACAGGGAGAGGAGATGAAAGAAACCAGGGATGCTCTTAAGGATGGCCAGCCTGGCCTACACAGTGGGTCACTGCCAAAAGATTGTCTGCAGCAAGGTGGACTGAGAGGACCAAAACCTGAGGCTGTCCTTTGACCTCCACATAGAACGTGCATATGAAACCACAAAGGCTATTAAATTTAAGATATGTTGATTGTTAAGATACAGTATTATTACTACTAAAAGGAAGGGGGAGGATGCTTGAATCTGATTGAGTTTTTATTAGCATAGCTATGACATTCAGTTCTGTTGCTGCTTGGTGTATAAGAATATGCATCAAGGACATGGACTGTGGAGTCCTTACCTAAATAGGAGAACTTTCTCAGCTCATCCAGGGGGAATTACAGCCCCTCCCCTTCAGGTGCTGCCCCACCATGCCCGCCTCTCTTTCTCCCATCTGGATGTCAGAGTTGCTGGCATTTAGACATTTAAGAGTCCCAAAACCTCTTGAAACTTGCCAAGGTCTTTAAAAGGCAAAGTTCTATAGTGACAGGGTTTGTGTTTTCCTGGCAGGAAGCATTCCAACGGGCACCTCCTTGCCAGTTCTGCCAGCCCACCTTCTGATAACTGCCCCATCCCCTGGCTGGCTCTGAGCCCTGCTCCAGGTCCGAGACTGTCCTTCTGCCTAGCTCACAGCCCTGAGGATGGTATCTGTGTGTCGGGTACCATGCGTAAGTGTTCAGGACAGCTGTGACCTAGCCAGATTGCTGCCTGTGCTGGGGATATCAGCCGTCAACCACACAGGTCTTCACAGTGATCACCACAGGGAGAAAACAGGCTGCTATTGCAATGAAGAAAGTTCAGGGCAGAACTATTAAGGGTCAGCAGGTCAGGTGTGGTGTGAACGTGAGCACCAGTCCATTTAAGTCAAAACTTGAAGGATGGGGAGGAACTGACCAAGTGAAGGGCAAAGCGGGGCATCTGAGTCAAAGGGGCAACTTGCCCTGACTTTGAAACATTTGGAACTGAAAACGAGCAAGGGTGGGCAAGTGGGGTGAAGGGGAGATTTAACCTCTGCAAACTTCAATTTTCATCAGGAAAATGAAGAGGGCATTGTGTACCGCTACTTCAGCTGTGAGGGTATACCCTGAGGCTGAAACAGCTGCGCTCCCTGGTGCCACAAGTCCGCAGGCAACGATGCCTTGAGTCTCACTTGGCATCCCTTGGTGCCTGTTCTGGGATCCTGTTCCTTCCAGATTCCTTGCTGGGGACCTGCATCCAGATGCTTTTTTCCCCTCCCAACACTGTTTGGAGGAGTGCATGGAATAAGGCGGAGAGGAAGGCCCCCAAAACGCTGCATAGACAGCATAAAGGAAGACTGTGGGACCCTGGGTGTGACAATAACACAGGCATCTAGGACTGCCCAGGATAGGAACAACTGGAGAACCGCCATAGATGGGCTGTCCGTGCATGGTTCAGCATTGCATCATTGTTATTGCTGGGGCACACATGATGACAAAATGATTGTGTGCCCTGGTGTGAAGGTATCAGATGAGCTATCTCTCCGGCCAGCTTTGTCAACCTGCTGGCGGCTTTCTGGTATTGCAGTTAGGGAGCCTCCTTCCTTCTCCAGGGCCCTAGGCTCACAGAAAAACTGTTCCTCTTAAATGGGGTCTTCTTGCCATTTCCTTAATTGTGCAGATCAGCTCCCCTCAAAGGGTGACCTCGCTCCCAACTGTGCCCAGTCCCAGACTTCCCCAGACCAGTGTGAAATAAAATGGCCCCAGGAGGTCTGAAGGCAATTATGTTTCAATCAAGTTAATTGCCGTATCCTTACTTGGTCTGTGCCTGCATGGAAGGATAGAAGCTTACCCTTCCGCATACAATCTCCTAGATTCGTAAATTAATCATGTGCCCATGTGGGTGTGCGTGTGTGTACAGGCGAGCATATGGATGTGCATATGCATTTGGAGGTCAGAGGACAGACGAGATCTCTCATTGGCTTAGAACTGCACCGAGCAGGCTGGATTAACCAGCAAGCAAGTCCAGGGATCCTCCTGTCTTTGGCTTCCAGCACACCATCACTGGGACTAGAAACATGTACTTGACTTTTTACACGGGTTCTTGGGAATGAACTCAGGCCCTCATGCTGAAGAGCGAACACACTGGTCCTGACGTGTAGGGTGTTCACAGGGCCTCCCCGGGTGTGTCAGGCTGACACTTCCAGCCCTGTTGCTCCCTCACTGGTCCTGACGTGTAGGGTGTTCACAGGGCCTCCCTGGGCGTGTCAGGCTGACACGTCCAGCCCTTCTGCTCCCTCACTGGTCCTGATGTGTGGGGGCGTTCATAGGGCCTCCCCGGGCGTGGCAGGCTGCTCGTGGTCGTGGTGCTTGGAGCCTCACCTTCGTGAATGTCCAGCTATCTCTGACGACCTAGACAAGGTAGCAGGGATTTCCTGGGGCAAGAGTCACAGCTTTAAACCTGTTGCTTAGCAGTAAGGGCTGGGTACCTTCTGAGTCTCTGATATTCCTCTGTACTCTACAGTTGCAGCCTAGAGCAAGTAGGTGCGCTAAGATGGCTCTGCCCTCTGGAGGAGACCGGGCACAAAGCCCGATATCGTGAGCTGCCAGCGGTGGTGACCAGCGAAGGGTCTGACATGGTAGACTCAGTCTGTCACAGAACATCCTGGTGCCAGGCAGAGAGTTACACTCGATCCCCCACCAATGGCTGGACTTCTTTTGCTTTCAAGTTTTAATCCTTGCTTTTTATTAACTTGGACGTACTGTGTGGGTTTGGCTCGTTGCATAACCAAGCCATTACGGGGCACTCGGGTCAATATTTTACTCACCATTGAGAAGATGGGTTATTTCCACCAAGTCAGACATGGTGGTTTGGTTTGTGTGGTTTATGACCAGCCCGTGGGATTTGGGGGTGCTGGTATTCCTGTGCTCCAGGAGTTTAGAGACGCTTCTGGAAGCAGCCCCTGCAATGATGTAGCACCTAGAAGCAAGAGCAGCATAGATGCCGTCCCACTGTTCAGAGTCCTGGGTAAACAGATATTTAAGAGGTGATCGTTACAATGCATCGAAAGCTATCACAGAACAACAGGAGTAACAGCATATAATCAAATCATACCCTTTTTCTCAACACATAAAATATTTTCCTTGACGTCTGTGCCTTAAGGATATGCCACTGTCAAACAAATTAGCAAGCTTCGTGGAGAGAAGCTTTGAGTAATTTAATTTGAGCCTAAAGAGCTTGTGGGTGAAGAAACCAAAACATTAGCGCCTTAAGTATTACTCCCCACACTGCCTATGGAGTTACTGGAGGCCCGGGTATCACCACCCACGGCTTTGTCCACAGTGCAGTTAAACACTGACTGCTTAGAAGACTCTTTGGTTATTTCCACAAAACAAACTAACACCTGAAAAAGAGCTTGTAAGGGCCTTGAGCATCTTTATTTGTTAAGACTATTGTGTCAGTGATGGTGAGACCATTGTAGGACATGGAATATTTAATTAGATGTGTGTTCATGCGTAGACCTAGATGCATATAAAGTTATCCTGGCCACTGGACCAGATTTCAAACCATCCCATACTTGCTGACTGTGCGGTGGTGGGTCCTCTCAAATCGACAGAACTTGGTCAGCCTCAGGACTGTCCCGACAAGGCCCAGTGAGGTCCTGGGCCCTGAGTTCAGCTGCGTTTTCTGAGAGTACTGTAAGTTTTCTAGGCTGAGAAAGAGGAGCCCTGAAACTCCAAATTCGATCTAGCTTCCCTATTGTCTGGAATCTAATTCGTTGTCTCAGAGAGGATATCTGTTCCACATACAGATGGTTCTCAAAGCCATAAAAATCAAGAAGTCCAGTTTTGGATGTGGTCTTCCCAGGCCTTTAGATGGCCCTGTTCGGATGTGTTCATTTGAATACACTGGATCTGAATCCTTTTCAAAATACAGCCGTGCTACTTGTATGCAGACACAGTAGCCAGCCTTCGCCTGGGGAATATCTGGTTTTATGGAAGTCCTGTTTCCATGAGCGCAGGAAAATGCTATATGATTAACCTATGGAAGCACTGGCTGGCACAGCAGGGCCGGCTTCCGGCCGTCAGGCTGCTGTAAAGACGCAGGTACGCCTGAAGGGTTTGCGAAAGGCTCGTTTCATTTCACAGACGGGCATGCTCCTAGGTAATTGTGTTTCTGCTATTCACGGGCTTGGTAAGTGCCTTTTCACAAATGCCAAAACAAAGCAGTCCAGCCCAGCCCAAATTACAACACGTTCCCAGCAACAGACGTCAGAAGAATGGGTTTTGTATTCTGCTTTGTTATAAATTGTGGAAGGTGAGACTCCTTACTTCATCACGTGTAAAATATATGTTGGGGAACAGAGAAGGTGGCCCTGCTTACCTCCTTCCTGAAGGGATCAATCAAGGCAATGATGGCAGGATACTTGTTGATCAGATCCACGTACAGGTCCACCATCTCAGCCATGCTTTTGTACGTGCCCGCCATCACTTCGTACTTTCCCTTGCTCTGATGTGTGTAAGGGAGGCAGTGAAAGATAAATGATGGGTTCTTCAGAGGGCGAACATGTCATTCAAACTCTATTTCACACTGATGATTATACACTGGTTCTTTTCTGGGCACATTCCACTGTGCACTGTACTTTCTTTTTCTTTTTTTTAAATTCTCTCATATATCCCGACTGCAGTTTCCCCTCCCCTGTACTTTAAATTTCATTTCAGTTTTTAACCCAGGGAAGGCAAGTCACCATTGCTGTCGATGCCCCAGAGAGAGTTCTTCCCACTGACTTCAGATGGAGCCATCTACACACACACAGAACAGGTGGAGAGTGGGAGAAGAATGGCTTTCTATTTAGGGTTATGACATGGTAGTGCAGGCCCCCAGCGGCCTGGGTAGGTGGGCGAAAACACCAGTCCCTAAGCTGCCACACACTGCAGCAATACAGGCCTGCCCACTTGAGAGCCCACTCTCCTTCCGCTCACAGGGAGCAAGTCGCTTGTTCCCCTTTCTGTGAACATAGCAAACTCTGAATTCAGGGTGAAGTTTCTGCAAACTAACACCCAGCAGTAGCAGCAAGTGGTCCTGGCAAGGTGGCTCTTTCCCAGGTAGCCTGCCCCTTGCCCTGGAAGGGGCGGGTGCTGGTGCAAGCCTTTCCATTGATTTCTGCAAAGATTCCTGACCTAAGTATGGAAGCAAACAGGGTTGAAGGATCCAGTTTAGTTCTGCAAGACAAAGCAGTTTTCTTTCAAGCTTGTGACCAGGGGTGGCACCGGGATGCTTAGGTTAGGGAGGGAGGTGCACTAGGAAGTAGGCGGTTTGCTTCACTAATACCCTCCTGCTGCTCCAGCTAACAGGGTGGACTCTACTGGAACTAAGCAGGTTCCTAAGAAGTCTACAGTTAAAAGGATTTTCTACCTTTTTCACATAAAAAAACAGCGAGAAGTTTTAGCTTCTATAATGAGAAGCTTAAAAATCCTATCTTGTCAGTGAAGAAATGCTAATGACTTTGAACTAACATTATTGTAAGAATTATCTGATATCAAGCTAATACATTTTACTGACTATAAGCGATAAATACTCATTCTAGTTAGCGCTAGCAGTCAGCATATTCATAGTTCCGGGTATACGTTGCTGATGCAAACATGCAATTATTTTTCTCAATGGTGTGCCTGGGAACCAATCATTACGTGAAGAATAGGAAATTACTTCAAGCATCCCTTTATGTGCTTCGTTTCTGTACAAAGTAGAATAACTTCTAGAAATCAGCCAAAACTTAGGGTTCTTCTAGACTGTTCAAAACTGTCTCTGTAGCGGCAGTTAGAACTCAGTCAGGTGAGATCCTATTGGCCGTGTTTCCTGAGCCAACGTTAATTACCAAGTCGACACTGGTGTGCTTCAGGATGACGGGCATTAGGTAAAACCAAGAACCAGCCTTGGCGTATCTGAGGATGGGATGTATGTGCAAGCGTGTAACATGGAAAGAGACTAGATTTCTTAACACACAGATTCCCAGGCATAGAGGTGAGCTGCTGCTGTAGCCTGGGGTGTGTGTGGGGGGGGGGCAGCATTCATTTCCTTTTAAATGGTCCTCTCTGTAGGTGAACTGATCACCAGGTGATGGTCCAGGTCAGGGGCAATGATGTATTTAGTATTCCTCATAAACTTAATAACTTGGGGATGTAGCTCAGTGGTAGAACACTTGCCTAGCATGTGTGAATCAGGGTTAGATCTCATGCTTGACAAATTCAGCATTTACCAACCAAATTATTTATACTCACAAAATGTACCAGATTGTTAAATTATTTCCCAACAGCTTTCATGATTACTCTATAAATCATGCAATTAAGTAGGTTCCTAAGGAGTCCACAAATGAAGGGATTTTATACTTTTTTCACTTTTAAAACCTTCATTTTATGTGTCCATTTTAATTGCAGAATTTCTAAGTATGTAACCATGATACTTTATGCTACTTTAGAAAACCAATAGTACATTATTTTCTAGTCATTACCTAATCTGGCATTCTCAACTCCACTTTTATTTATGCATCTACGATGGCATCCGTTCAGAAAATACCCAGGTAAGTTCTAATGTAGAAATCATGTCCTGCAAACAGGGAGGCCACTTTGGGAACTCACGTAGTCCATTAACTCGTGCGCAGCGCAGTTGATGGCCAGGTGCAGGCTCATTCCCAGCTCTAGCCCCAGGTTCGAGCAGATCCCCTGGATAAGAAGCAGCGGCTGCTCTATGGTGTCGTAGTTAACAGTTAGACAGCCAAGGTGGGACATCTTGCCCATGATCGGCTGCTGCAAAATCCAAAGAAGACGGTTCAAGTTACCACAGCGTGTTAAGGTTGCTGGAACACCCTGTGACAGACATGGGTTTTAACTGGACATGGGTCTCCAAAGATCGACTCCTTCCACTTTTGATGACATCTGCTTCCAAACCACCCACCCCTGGTCTGGGCATTTAATTTCCCCTACCCCATCTGCTTGTCTTTCTTCTGTGTGCCTAACTATTCTACCTGACTGGCTCTGCCCTTCTCCATGGGGCTAACCTGAGCCACCCATCACCAGGCTATCCCTGTAAGCATCCATGGATCTCTAACTTGGTCAATCCTCCTCTCCCAAACCGACTTTCTTATGTTCTGGTTTCTTCTAGGGGAGCACTGATCAATTTTTTTTTAAATGAGTGCTAGGAAGGTAACTCAGGGGGGAAGCCACATCCTCCCAGGCCTGGCACCCAAGTGCCACGTGGTGGAAGGAGAGAACCAACTTTTCTATGTTCTCTGACCTCCACGAGTGTGAACGCTGCCTTTTTCTTTCTCCCTCTGTTGGAGGTACTCTGACTTCTAGACGATCCTTTGCTACTCTGCTATTTATACAGACAGTCTCGCTCCTAAGTCTTTTACCTGCAGGGTTAAATTCAGTCCTGCCAGTCATGAAGTCTACCCTGCAATCTTAAGATTTCAGATAATGCTGGGTGGTGATGGCACACACTTTAATCCCAGCACTCAGGAGGCAGAGGCATGAGGATCTCCGAGTTTGAGGCCAGACTGATCTAGAGTGTGTTCCAAGGCAGTCGGGACCACACAGAGAAACCCTGTCTCCAAAAACCCAAATAGACAAAGATTTCAACAGTTGATGATGGCTCTCCAGGAAACCTGCAGCCAGGAAGAGGAAGGCTGGGACCCCAGCTCCACATTGGCACCCTGGAAGCAAAGGTACCATTTCTTTGACTTGGTCCTGGTCTTTGAAGCAAAATACTAAGTGAGGGGGCGGGGAGCAGGGCACACAGGGCACCCAACCGAGGTGGAGAGCACGTGCTTACCTGACCTCTTTTGCCCCCATCATGCCCCTTTTTGGTCTCTGGTTTTGGAGGTGGGAGCTGTGGGATGAGAAGATAAAGAAAATTGTATCCCTTGGTATTTCAGACATCCCTGAGACAGCAAGCAGAGCTGAAGCTGGCTGTTCTTAGGGAACCCATCTTCCACACCATGAATCTCATTCCCATACAAATGGAGTCAGTGACACACACACACACACACACGGATCATTCCAGAAATGCTCTTCTTAAAGTCCTTAGTTCTTTCTCCAACTCAAGTCCATTTTTAGTTCATCCTCTTCACCCACTGCACGCTGGTTTTCCTCCAAGCAAACACAGGTCACACCAGCAACTCCTGGTGTGTGCAGGTGAATAACAAACCCTCTCCTGACCTTCAGGACTTCTATCTGCCACTGCAGGATTTGCTCTTACAGGCCCAATATTCTCAGAGTAAAATCAAGGTGTGTTTGATCTTTGGAGAGAGCCAAAGGTCATGAAATACTTTATAAATTCTAAAGGATGACCTTAGCAAAGAGCCAGTGTCTCAGGAACTAAACTGGGATTGTCTAATACCTCGGAAGACAGACAGATCCACTGCCAATGAACAATGTATGCACTTGGATCACAGGGAGCTTCAGCTGTCAACTTGACACAAACCCAGAGTCACCTAGGAGGAGGGACCCTCAGCTGAAGAACTGTCCAGGTTAGACTGGCCTGGGACCATGTCTATAAGGTCTCTCTCTCCTCTCTCCTCTCTCCTCTCTCCTCTCTCCTCTCTCCTCTCTCCTCTCTCTCTCTCTCTCTCTCTCTCTCTCTCTCTCTCTCTCTCTGATGTGAGATTCCCCTCTGTATGCTGTGAATATGTCTTATTACCATTGGTTAATAAAGAAGCTGCTTTGGCCTATGGCAGGGCAGAATATAGCAAGGCGGGAAATCCAAGCAGAGATAGAGGAGGAAAGAAGGTAGAGTCAAGGAGATGCCATGTAGCCACCCAAGAAGCAAGAGGTAACAAACTATGAGCCTTGTGGTTAAGTATAAATAATAGAAATGGACTAATTTAAGATGTAAGAACTAGCTAAGAATACGCCTAAGCCATTGGCCAAACCGTGTTGTAATTAATACAGTTTTTAGTTTTCGGGGCTGGGTGGCTGGGAACCAAAGTACAGTCTCAGTTTCTCTCTCTCTCTCTCTCTCTCCCTTTCTCCCTCCCTCCCCAGCTTCCCAAATGCTGGGATTAAAGGTATGCATCACCACCACTCAGCTGTGAGGCTTTCCTAACTGTTGACTGGTATAGAAGAGCCCAGCCTACAGTGTATGGAACCATCTGGAGACTGTTTGACTGAGCCCCCTTTTGTAAGATGCTTTTTGCCACCCCCTCCCCCCCCACCATTAGGACAATCAGCTCCTCACACCTGGGAGTCCCCTTTCTTTTTCCTAGTCCTTCCTGGTGTCTAATGACCTAGGGGTGCCTCCTCCTCTCCTGCCCACTCCAGTATTACCACCCTGGCTGGATTTGTATACGGTGACCCCTCCTTCTATAATTTAAACAGGTCCAGCACTACTGGTTCTATTTAATGGACCCAAGATAATGCTGGAGATTTTAAAGTGATTAAATGTGCAGACTATGTGAACCACAAAAGAAAGAAAGAAAGGTAGCTGAACAAGCCAGGGGAAGCAAGCCAGCAAGCAACGTCCCTCCATGTCTTCGGCTCCAGGTTCCTGCCCTGACTTTCCTTAGTGATGGATTGGTACCTGGAAATGGAAGCCAAATAAACCCTCTCCTCTCAGGCTGCTTTTTTTTTTTAGTTATGCTGTTTATTACAGCATGAGAAAGCAAACTAGAACAGCTTGGTTTGGATAGGAAACCCAAAGCAAATGAATGCATTCTTCATAGCAGCAACAGCAATACTGATTTAACCCCAAATGAACCAGGAGCTGAATTCAGGTGTCTCTGCTTCCCCAGGCTGCCTTTACATACCGTCTCAATCACTCTGTTGATTTGTTTCTGAATTTCCAGGAGCAGCTCTATACCCTGTAAGCAGAACAGCCATGGTGTACAGCTTCATTCTGCAGATGACAAACCTGAGAGTCATACCCCGATGGCCAGTGTTTCCTCAAACTGAGGACTGCCAGTTAGTGGAGGGTGTGGCCTACGCAATGAGAAGAATGAGTGTTCATCTCTGACCCCTGTTGGTTTGTGTGTGAGTGCCAGGCATCTTGTCTTGGCATCTTCATGGTGAAAACCAGCGAACCCTTCTTTATCCTAGCCTCTTGGCCAGGCTGGACAACGTAGCAATGCATGCCGCAGGTCACCAAGGAGGCCTGGCTAACTAGTCACGTAAGAACTAGAACAGTGGGGCTACAGGGATGGCTCATCTGGAAACGCATTTGTTTTTGCAGGGGACACAGGTTCAGTTCCCGGCATCCACAGGACAGCTAACAATTATCTGTAGTCCCAATTGCAGAGACTCCATTACCCTCTCCTGGCCTCCTCAGGCGCTAGATAGACAGGGTGCACAGACATATGCAACCAAAACACCCATACGCATAAAACAGAAATAAGTGCATCTTTAAAAGGAGGAAGAGCAGGAGGTGGGGCTGTGATCTTGAGGGCGTCAGCACAGGAAGGTGAGGATGGCGTGCAGAATGCTCTGGAGTCCCAAGACCACAGACGGGTCCTGCCACAGGGCCTGAAAATGGCTTCACAGATAATCTGACGGCTGGAGTGTCACGTGAAAACGGATATTGTGAGGTAATAAGAATTTTGTTTAAAGGGATTCTTTTTCACAGAGAAAGCAAGTGAAACTTTTGTACAGCTTATTTTCACAATTTACAAAGTTTCACTCATCACAGGAAGGATGTGGGGAGCTTCCTCTCCTTTTTCTGAGAACACCGTAGCATGAACCTTGTAGAGGACTCGGGAGCATACTGACTCTCCAAAGGGCGATGTAGACCTCACCAGCACACCTGGGAAATGAAGCTCCCACATAGGATGCATTCATCTCACAAATGAGCATTGAATGCCTGGTCTGCTAGCCTGGAGTTCTTTATATAACAGAATAGGTCGCTGGGGAGTGCCGGCTCCTGCTACAGCCAACAAGCAGATACTCGGGGTATTCTCAGATGATAGCTCCCACAAGACCTCGCTCCTTTGAGTCACTAATATGAGCCAAGGCTGGACCAAACCAGACCAAACCACTAAGAGGGTCTGTTTCCTTTTGTTTGAGTTCCTGCTTTCTTCTGATTGATTTGATTTCCTAAAATATCATTTCATATATTTTAGTCACTCCCCCTTGATTGACACTAAAATTCACCAATGGTGGAGGATTGGGCGGGGGAAGTAGGAAAAGCGTCTTAGCTGAGTCAGGTACTTGTTTGGTTGTTAATCCGGGATGGGGGATGCAAATCACTTCCTTCATTAAGTTTAGCTTCCCGGGTGATGCCTTCCCGCAGCTGAGCACAGATCCCATCAGCAGAGGCATGGTGAGTGTCGCCGCTGACGGCTGCTCCTGCCAGGGAAGCAGAGGAGAGAGAGAATGGCAGTTCAGCGCAGGGCCTCGTCCCAGATCCCATGCATAGATGGGTGCAACCTTCACTGACCTGGCCATGCTTCAGGGATGCAATGTTCATGTACAGAGGGACACTGGCCAGGCTGGCACTGGTTTTCGCCACCGCTAGTGAAACAGCGCCTATGGCCATGCTACCGTGGAGGATGGGTTCAGGGGGTTCTGGGGGGATAATAGGTTTTTCCAAAAGCGTGTCCCTCCGCCCTGGAGAGGAAAACAGAGACAGGATTCGTTTCTAGAAGCCTCACTGTAATAGAACCGCATCTTCTTCAGATGCTGCACTCACAGAAGACCCAGCACAGACGGAAGGGCGAGAGTTAAGGTTGGCCTTCTCCCCTTCAGCTCCCAGGGGTTTTCAGATTTGCTCACTTAGCCCTGGGCTCTGCCTGATGGTTTTCAGGCCACTCGGCATGATCATAGTCCATAATCATATGAGGTGGATACTGATACTCCCACAGTTGCGTGTTAGTAGACTGGGATTTGTTGTGGTGACGGGACCACAACATATTTATTGTGCAATTTTGTTGGGGGATATTCGATCACACTGTGAACCCCGAGTCTCCATTGGTATTAATTAAATATAATTCACCTTGGGTCAGGTTAACAACTAGTTGACAGAAAGCAATCATAGAGCATCAGAGGGCACCCGGGGGGGATAGAGAGAGCACCAAAAGTAGTAGGTGCAGCTTAGGATGCACTCTTGGGGAGACACCAGCAAGGCGAGATTAGCTAGTAGCAACTCAGCCTCTCTGAGCTAGTGGGTTTTCACCCCAGCCTTTGAACCTCGAATCTTATTTATAAATAGAACAATAGAGATTTAATTAAAGCTACCGCTAGTGGCAGCCAAAACTGGTGCCTGCAGGAACAGAATTCCCTCCAGGATGCAGCCTGAGCCACAGGGCCTCTGCCAGAGAAGCAGACCAGGGACTGCAGAGTTGTGACTGCTGACTGAAGCCACTGAGCCGGAGATAACACAATATCTTACAGGAAGCAGATGCAGGCTCAACCTAGAGTGCTCGAATTCCAAACCCCGCTCTTCAGTGTCACTGTAGTTTCCGTGTACCTCACATCGAGCACCTCTTCCTATTTTACCGTCCTTTTCTCTAAACCCAAAGCCATGTGTTGTTCTCTTTGGCCACCATCTCTAGTAGAGCCCAAGCCCAGCCGTCTACCCAGAATCCTCACCCAACTTCTCAGCCACCCTGTCTCTTCAAGCCCTCCTAGCCAGCCTCCAGCCTCCCAGTCTTCCCCACTGCCACTTTGGGTCCTCAGTGGAGAGAAGACACTAAGCACCCAGCACACGATTAAGACAGAGCAAATCCCTGTCTCCTTCTGTAACTTCTCTTTCCTTAAGCTCTCAGTCCTGAGTCAAAAGCATCTGCCCCGTGAAGTTTATTGGTGCATCCCACCTGTAGCTCAGTAGAGTCTACATCCTCTGAGAAAAGACACATCTAACATAACTCTCTTAGGTTAGTTCTGTTCCTCGCACTGAAGCAGAAACAATGAAATAAAGGATCTCAGTTTTCACTGCCTCTCTGTTCCTTCCTGGTGTGGTGTTTCTTCTTCTTCGGTCTCCTCATTATTATTATTTTCTGACACAGGGTTTCTCTGTGTGTCTCTGGTTGTCCTGGAACTCACTCTATAGACCAGGCTGACCCCAGACTCACAAAGATCAGCCTGCCTTTGCCTCCTGAGTGCTGGAATTAAGGGTGTGGGCCAACACTGCCGGGCTGGTGTTTTCTTATTTAATGACACCCACTTTTTAACTGTGTGTCCAGATAGGCCTGGGCTACTGGCAGTCACGGCAAGTTGAAGGAAACATGGCATGAGTCCTTCGGAGATAGAAAACTGCTCACGATACCAGGGGCAGTTCTAGAACTAGCATACTGAAGGGGCCGCCATTGGCACTCTGTTGGAAGTGCAGGCAGAGGTCTCAGTGAAGCAAAGCTGTAGAAAACAATGCTGATATATGAGACCAAAACAGAGCCATATACCTTGCAGCTTAAGGTTTCTGTTTGCAGCCAAGACAGTTAAGAATAAGTTCCTATTTATCCTGTGTCGAGTCCTTGCAAGTTAAGGTTTCTATTTGTAACTGATAATAAATTTATGTTGTAAACTGCAAAGCATGTGTCTCAGCCTACACTAAACTTGCGCCCCCACTCACATGATTTACACCCTTGCCCTTGTTCCTTGACTTTCACCATATAACAACATATAACAGCCGCCTTTTGGCCCCTGTGAACAGCTCATAGCTCCTGTAAGAAGCACCGCAAGACATCAGCAGGGGCTGTCCTCTTAAATCTCAGCTTAGGGTGAGAAAGCCAGCCGGCCAGTCGGTGTACCCCAAAAGACATCTCGCTTTAACTGGACAACTGTGGATGTGGACTTTCCTGCTCTTTGTAGCACAGATGATAAAAACCCAAAGACAGATATTGGAGTTCAAGCTGAAGATCAGAAAAGCAAACCAGCCAACCGCTAGAGAGTTCTTTTAGCTCTGCCAATGCTCAGACCAAAGGGGTGATCCTGTCTTCAGATTCCGTCTGTCTCCAGCAAACCTCAGACTCCAGACTCCAGTGAGTTCCTGTCTCTTCCCCTTTATATTCCTCTCTTCACCCAGCCATATCATTCCAGTCTCCACCTCCCTAGTGCTGGGATTGAAGGTGTGTGCCACCACTGCCTGGCCTGTATGGCTGACTAGTGTGGCTGCTTTGCATTCTGATCTCTAGGCAAGCTTTATTTATTAAAACACAAATAATAAACCACTATAATCAGATATGTGATTAGATCATAGAACTCGCCTCTGGCAAAGCAGACCCTTTATTATGGGATGGCTTTTTGATTGCCTCATGGAAAACTTCAGGGAGGTGCAAATCCCTGCCCTCCATGTTCCCACCTTCCTCTTACCCCTCTCTCACTGCCACGGTTTAAGGCCTTTTATTCAATTAGTGCTCACCTATGAATAACAGCATAATCATTTCATTTCTCAAATAAAAGGGGAGGGTAAAGTGAGAATGAACGTAGTCCACCCAGCACAGCAGATTCAAGGGAGTCAGATGGCACCTTGCTGGGCACTGCCTACCCCAAAGCCCGGCCTTTATTCTTCATACCTTTGCAGCAAATGGTGCTGTGATGTGGGAAGTCCTTCTGTATATGTATTGTTTTTATTGTTTTATGAATAAAGCTGATTGGGCCAGTGGCTTAGCAGAGTAAAGCCAGGCAGAAAATCAGAACAGAGAGAGAGAGAGAGAGAGAGAGAGAGAGAGAGAGAGAGAGAGAGAGAGAGTCAGGCAGATGCCATGTAGCTGCTGAAGGAGAAGGACTCCAGAACCTTTCTGGTAGGTCACAGTCTCATGGTGATACATAAATTAATAGAAAGGGGTTAATTTAAGATGTAAGAGCTAGCTGGGAATATACCTAAGCTATTGGCCAGACAGTGTTGTAATTAATATAATTTCTGTGTGATTATTTGGGAGTGAGTGGCCTGGAAAAAAATTATGAATGGTACCCAACATGGGGCACAACTATTATTCAGGTCTGGGTGGCTGTGAAACATGGCCTCTGGTTACAGCGCTGGAAGATGGCAAGCCACTCACCTGGCTTCTGTCCTTTCTTCTTGGTGGGAGGTGGAGGAGGTGGTGGCAGGATTACAGGCGGAGGTACGGGCACTGACTCCTCAAGGCTCCTTTCCAACTCTTTTCTCTCTTTATCTTCTTGTACTTTATTTTTAAAAAATAGCCTGCATGGCAAGAAGTGTAAGACTTTACAATGGAATGTCATGATTTAGAGCTGACCCTGGTATGTTTCAATAATACGTTTTTTTAAGCTAAGGAAGAACAAATTAGCTTTAATTCCCAAGGTTAATAAAAGTAATGATGGTGTTAAAACTATTTTTTTCAAGAACCAAATTCTTATCATTTAAATTATTTGAGCTCTTTTTATACTCTCTAAATAAAATTCAAAGGCATAATTTGATTAAGGGGTACTGGACTTTTTTTTTTTATAAAAATGACATGCAGAAGCCAAACCATTCAAGAATCCTTAGTGAAAACAGGGTTGGAAATATGTCTTTTCCTTTTCCTCTTAGCAAGAGATTTATTTTTAAGTGTGTGCACACACGTGTGTGTGTGTCTATGCATGCACACATGTAGGTATTTGTGAAGACCAGAAGTGTCCAATCTCCCAGGAGCTGGGCTTCTAGGCAGCTGTGAGCTGGGAATTCAATGTGGGTACTCGGCTAGAGCAGAATTAATGTGGGATGCACCTCTGTATGCTGTGATTATTTTTTTATTACTATTGATTAATAAGGATGCTGCTTTGGCCTATGACAGGGCAGAATATAGCTGGGCAGAGAGGCCAAACAATACAGGGAGAGAGAAGGTAAAGTCAAAGAGGATGCCAGCAGTTGCTGGGGAAGCAAGATGTGAGGTAACAAGCCATGAACCTCGTGGTAAAATATTAATAAAAATGGATTACTTTAAGTTGTAAGCACTAGTTAATAATAAGCCTGAGCTAATAAGCCAAACAGTATGTAATTAATATTAAACCTCTGAGCGGTTACTTTTAAAAGTGGCCTTGGGACCTGGTGGGATGAGGAGTCTCCAGTTACACAGGATGGACTGACTCTTACCTGAGCTCCATCTCTGCAGCCTCCCTTTTTCCTTCTGATGAGGGGAAGGTGTGTGCGTGACTTAGAATGAGCATGTATACAAAACTTTCGGGAAACCCCAGTAGACACAACTACATAGCATTTCACCACCCCTCCCCCATCAAGTTTGTTTCGAATTTGGCTTTAAAGTGTGGTTGATGTGGGAAGTCCTTTTGCATGCGTGCTGCTTTATTGGTTGATGAATAAAGCTGTTTTGGCCAATGGCTTAGCTGAGTAAAGCCAGGGGGAAATCAAACAGAGATATATAGAGAGAGTAGGTGGAGTCAAGTAGATGCCATGTAGCTACTGAAGGAAACAGATGCCAGAATCTTACCAGTAAGCCACAGTCTCTTGGCAATATACAGATTAATAGAAATGAGTTAATTTAAGGTTTAAGAGCTAGCTAGGAATATGCCTGAGTTGTTGGCCAAACTACGTTCTAATAAATATAGTTTCTATGTGATCATTTGTGTTTGAGTGGCCAGGAAACAAAAGTACAATCTCCGTCTACATGTGGTAGTGGTCTTATTATTACCTTTGGGGTTAACATTTCTGGAGGCCTCAGTGAGATTCAGACACTCACCCAAATTCTAAACTCAGACCTTTGGTCTGGAACTCTGGGTGCCTGGGGGGCTGCCTTAGGAGGCACATGCCTTGAGATGTTCCAAGGCGCCAAGACTGCATTCAGTTCATGGACTATTGGGGTAAACTTTTGTGTTTAGAAAAGCAGCAAGCATCCACAGAGGCCTCCTGGTGAGTTATAGTCTGGTTCTATTTTGTGAGATTCCTATTTGGAACATGAAAGGGGTTCAAATGGACCCCAATATTCTCCACTCCAGGGCAAAGAGCAAGATGTTGCCCTGCCCACCTGAGGGTCTCGGTCTGGCTTTGTGTCTTGTTTGTGTTGTTTTGTGTATCTTGTCTTTGGCTTCATCTTTACTGTCCTCTTCCTGCCATGTGTACTTTCTGTATTAATCCGTTTAGTTTGCACTTGGGGCGACTGAAGTGATGGACAGTGTGGGTGATAAGACTCACATGCTAACAACCCTCTAACCTATGTTCTAAAGACTTTAATAAATCTACCCCACTATAGTTAAGGAAGATGATTGCTGTGGGATGCTTCTGGATACTGTGAATATGTATTGATCCCATTGGTTAATAATAAAAGCTGATTGAACAATAACCAGGCAGGATAGGGTTAGATCGAACAATCAAACTAAGGACTTGGATGCAGAAGGGCAGAGTTGAGAGAGACATGGGCAGCCACCCAAGAAACAACATGCTAGCAGACTGGCAAAAGCCACGGCCATGTGGCAATGCACAGATTAATAGAAATGGGTTCATTTAAATGTAAGAGATAGTAATAAGCCTGAACAATATGCCAAACAGTTTGTAATTAATATGTTTCTGTGTGATTATCTGGGACCGTGTGGTCAGGAAACAAAAGCTCTGCCGCCATTTATTCTGTCACCAAATGTCACCTCTGTACATTCTGACACTGAATGGCCCACATTCAGGACTGACTGGCCCTCCCAGGGTACTTTTCATTCTCAGATAGCCTGAGCAGAGGTTAATATCACCTTTGGTAAGTCCAGATCCACCCAGATCGGATTGGATACATCTTGCCTTGGACTTATTCCTTGTTATTCATACTTATTCCATTCAGCCCGGAACACCCCCTTGTTGCCCATCCAAAAGCCTGGAACTGGAGACCATAGACCAGTACAGGACATGCGAGAAGTGAACTAGAGGGTAGAATCTATTCACCAACTACGTTCCAGATCCCTACACTTTGCTCAGTGTGTGGCCACCAGAGCACAAAGTTCACACTGTACTGGGCTTAAAGATTCATTCTTCTCCATCCCCCTAATGAACTGGAACGGGCTGACCCCTGAGCTAGGGCTATCAGGATAATTAAGCTGGGCCAGACCGTCTCGGGGGTTCAAAAACTCACCCACCATATGCAAGGAAGCAGTCAGCAAGGATTTAAGTCTCTTCCGAAGTAAATACCCTGAGGTAACCTTGCTTCAGTATGTAGGTGATTTATTTTTGGATGAGGAGGACTGTTTGAGAGCCACCAGAGGCCTTTGGGAAACTATCCGTTAGGCTATAGGGTTTCTGAAATGAAAGCCAAATGTGCTCACCCAGGTGTCTGACTTGGGATGTGAGCTGAGAGAAGGGGAGAGGCCTGCAGAGCAGCCACACTGCAAATCCCAACTGCAGCCACCGGAAACGAGTTAGGGAATGTCTGGGAGCTGTTGGATGTTGCAGTCTTTGGATGCCTGGGTTTGCTGGAATTGTCAAACCCTTGGACTCTGCTGTAGCTGAGGTAACACCCCTTTGGAAGGGACTGAGGACATAAACAGGTCTTTAAGGACTTAAAAGAGGCCCTGGTGTAGCCCCCAGCACTAACTCTCCCTCATCTCCCCATGACCTTTCACCTTTATATCCATGAAAGAAAGGACATTGCCAAGGGAATCCTGACTCAGGTCCTGGGTCCCTGGAAAAGGCCAATACATCTCAAAGAGATAGGATCCTGTTGCCTCTGAATGGCCCCCTTGTTTAAGAGCCAGTGCATCCACTGCAATTCTTGTAAAAGACGCTGACAAGCCCGTGTTGGGACAGAACTAATTGTAACAGGTGCACTTGATGTGGGCGCCCTGTTGGGAGATGCCACCAACCAGTGGATGACTCATGCTCAGTAGCAAGCCCTTCCTTTAGATAAGGACAGACTGACTTTCGATAAATCCCTGGCTATTAACCCCACCATCCTGCTGCTGGATGATGATCCTGAGGAGCCCAGCCATGGCTGCCCAGAGATGCTGGACATTATTTAACCTGACCAGACAGACATTCCTCTCACTACCTGAGAGGCAGGTCTCTATACTGATGGCAGCAGCTTCACTCAAGAAGGGACCAGGTATTGGGGTGGGGGGGTGGTGGTCACAGGACAGAATGAGGTCATCTGGGCACAAGCCTTGCTCAGGGGCACTCCACCCAGAGAGCAGAAATAATTGTTCTGACACAGGCTTTAAGGTGGGCTGAAGGAAAAAAGGTGAACATTTACACAAACAGCTGATATGCTTTTCACAGCTCATGTTCATGGACAGAAATACAAACAGAAGGAAAGACTGTTAAAAATAAGCATTAAATTGTCCACTCGCTAGAGGCCATCTGGCTGCCCACTGAACTGACCATTATTCACTGGCCAGGACACCAAAAGGGCAAAAGTCCCCAAACTCAGGATAACAACCATGCAGACCAAGTTGCCAAAGCCCCGGACTGCCCTGTGTTGTCTGAGCTGTAAGACTTCCTACAGCAGCCCTGGAACTGTCTGCTCTTCCCGAGCCCCCACTCTGCCTCAGTGAAGATGCTCTGACTTGGGGGCTCGGGGGGGTCACAACAGACGGTGGATCTTGTCTGATGGGAGAATTTGCACGCCAACGGGACGGCCAGTACTGACTAACTACTGCCTTGCATCCTACCATGCCCTTGTCACACCTAGGAAGCTCTCAGAAATCATCTCCCCTCACGTCTGGCTACCTGGACACTGGGAACTTCGGAGCATTTCAGATACTGCCTGGCCTGTGCCCAGGTGAAGGCAAAGAACACACTTCCCCCAGGCCAACAGGGTCAAGGTACAGAACCTGGTGAATTTGAGGAAGTGGACTTCCCTGAAGTCAAGCCAGGACTGTATGGCTACCAATATCTTTTGGTCCTTGTCAGTACTGTGTTAAGGGTGCACAGAGGCCTTTACATCCCGAATGTAAATGGCCCAATTGGTAGCTAAGAAATTTATAATGGAAATTATTCCCAGATATGGCCTCCCATATCTCTAGGATCTGACAATGTCTTGGCCATCAAGGCCAAGTTACCCTAATTGCTCTCTAAGGCTCTTAACATAAATTATTGGAAATGTTGTATGTATCATCCTCAAGGCTCAGGAAAGTAGAGAAGATGAATATAACTTTAAAGGAGATTTTAACTAAATAGCCTCTTGAAACTAGCGGTAACTGGTCAACCTTTTGCCTTATGACCTTCTCAGAGTCCAATGTACCCCATATGGAGAAAAGTTCACCCCATATGAATTAGTTTATGGATGACCATTTCCCATGATCCCTTGAGTACAGGCCAGACTGTTACCAGATTGCCTCACTCCAACCTCTGAGTCCTTAAAAAGACTGCAATTAACTTTGGATAAAGATTATCCCTCGGGTCCAGGTTGCTCAACCTGTTGGGTACCGTCCACCTGATCACCTGTTCCAGCCTGGAGATGCTGTATTATTCGTCTGTCACTTCAAAACTGTAATGAGCACCCAGTACCAGCCTGAGGGCAGAACATCGAATGCCAGCCTCCTGAGAGCAGAATCCTCCAAACGTCCTGCATCCAGAGATAAGCTACTATCACCAGACCACACAGACTATGCTGTCAAGCAAGCTTCATGATCAAGCACACAGTGCAGTTGGACTTCCAGCTGGAAGAAACCTAACAGTCCCTTTCAGCCCTTTACAGAACAGTTCAGGTCATAGTGTGTGTGTGTGTGTATTAGCAGGATTATTTAAGTAGGGCACTTTGTAACATGTGTTTACAGTGTGAGTTGTTAAAAGTTATTGAAACAATAGTATTAATATTAGAGCATGAAATGTTAAGGGAAATCAATATTTTCATACATATGTTTAATGTTTGGTATTAGTATTAGGAAATGTTAATTGATAAGTTGCATTAAGGTTAAGAAGTGCTTCATGAATAATTGATGAGCTGAATTGAGGTTATGAATTGGTTTTAAGTATTAGGATTAGTAGGGTTAATAACTGTGATATTGAATTGCCTGTGTGTTCCCTTCATCAATCCCCCATGCCTATTAAGATTGTAAACCCCATTGATGCATTGGATATTGAAATTGCTGGTAAAGAATCATCATAAAAACAATACTTTTGCTTGGTCTGGTCACTCATCACTCTCTGAGGAGAAGGGCACAGAGTCCTCATGGCATTACTCATAAAGAACCTGGAGCTGGGGAAGTCACAGTGATTAAAGTGGCTAAACCCAACAGCTCACTTCAAAACTAACCTGCTTGAACCTAGACGGAAAGAACCTTACATTGTGATTCTCCGGACTCCGAATTGCTATTAAAGCCGCTGGTATTTCTGTCTGGGTTCATCGCTCACATCTCAAAAGGGTACTTGAGGAACCCACAGAAGAGAAGCCTGACCCCAGAGGTGGAAAGTGATTGAAAGGGACCCTTAGAAATCAAACTTTCCACAGTTTGGCTGTCTGACATAACTGTGCTCTTCCTGTTGAAATAAGAGGCAACCTCCATCACAGGAAACCCCTGATATTGTCTTGTCATGCCAAAGACTGCCTTTATCCACCAGGACCCATAGTTTGGACAAAAGAAGATACCTGCTTGTAGATGCCTGTCTAACTCACAAACTACATGAACCAGTCCAGATAGGAGGTTTGGGAGGGAAACCTCCAGAAGAAAATATGCAATAAAGTAGTAGAAGCTGTAGCCAAAAAAATAGAAGTAAGGAGAGGGTGGTTCATTTAACTCAAAAAAGACAAAAAAAAAATTGCCTTTCAAAGTGTTTTTTTTTTGTTTGTTTGTTTGTTTGTTTGTTTTTTTGTCATTAACCAACTCTGAGGCAAACAGCACAAGGTGCATTGCTCAAGGCCATGCAACAGAACTAGAAAAGAGGCTGCGTTGATCTGGCCTGGCCAAGGCTGTTGACGCCTTCCACCTGTGTGAAGGAAAGACGACTCTAACCCAAGACTTGGTGTGGCGCCAAATAGCACTCAGCCTGACTTGGTTCTCTGATTTTCAGAGTGAAAAAACAAAACAAAACAACACACCTTAATTCTGGCTAAAGGTCTAAGCCCGGGTTGTGTCTGGAGTGCAGAACGTAAACGACAGCCAGGTGCCGCAGGCAAGGGTCTGAAGCCTCAAAGTTGGCCGTTCTCTGATAACCTGGTCCTTAATCTGAGAAGTTCCCTGCAGAAGAGGCTGCAGGCTGGCCCCACCTTACACAGGGAACAGGAGAAAACCAGACTCCAGGGAACGCCAGCTGTTTTCACTTGCTTCTTAAACTGTCCCTTTCCCCAGTTCTACAGTCCAGCCTCTTACTCTGTGGGTCGCAACCTCCCGTGGGGTCAGGTAAATGAATGCTGGGGGTTGCGAACTATTTGGTAACACTGGAAGGTTTCTGAACATGTTAGGAGTGAAAATTCATTCCAAATCAAATACTCAATGAATCTGAGGTGCTTGGAGCAGCACAGCTCACCCTTGTGACTTTGGGTCTGAACATGTATGTGTGCTTTGCATTGCCACACCACACCAATGAACCCGCCTGAAACACCTCCGGTTTAAGGCCATTGTACATTACAAATTGTAGTGTTTTATTGTATATACAAGCTTCTTGATCTTATAGAAACACCATGGTTTAATTATACAAACCAAAAACACTTATTATCCCCCCAACAGGTAAACAATGAATTCGTGTCTCTTCAGATTGTATATTAGAATGTTTGATTTTCAAAAGCACTGCTTCAGCTGCTGACCTGGGTTTCATAGAAAAGTTGTCGCGTGAGGGGAGGGGAGATGGCTCAGCAGGTAAGAGAGCATCTTGCTCTTGTGGGGGACCCAGTTCAGTTCAAGCGCCTACACCAGTGGTTCTCAACCTGTGGGTTGTAGCCCCCTGGGGGTGGAGTCACTGTTTGTTACAAGGGGAGGGGGCTTTGTTTGTCCCAGCTGCCTAGCTAGCTTACACGGAAATAATCACACAGAAACTGTATTCATTAAATTACTGCTTGGCTCATTATCTCTAGCCTCTTATTGGCTAACTCTCACATCTTGATTTAACCCATTTCTATTAATCTGTATCACCACATGGCAGTGGCCTACTGGGAAAAAGTCAGCATGTCTGTCTCTGACGGTTCCATGGTGTCTGTCCCTGACTCTGCTTCCTTCCTCCCAGAATTCAGTTCTGTCTTCTCTGCCTACCTAAGTTCTGCCCTATCAGGCCAAGCAGTTTCTTTATTGATTAACCAGTGAAAGCAACACATAAACAGAAGAAACTCCTACACCAACTGTTTCACTGGGGGCGCCTAAGATTCCTGGAAAACACAGATGTTTACATACAACTTATAACAGTAGCAAAAGTTATGAAGTAGCAACAAAAATAATTTTATGGTTGGGGTTCAGCACAATATGAATAACTGTATGAAAGGGTCACAGTCATAGGAAGAACCAACACAGTGGCTCCTAGCCACCTATAACTCCAGTTCCAAGAGATCCAATGACGACCTTTTCTGCTTCCTCTGGGCATACATGTGGTACACATACATACATGCAGAGAAAATATTCATACATATAAATGAAAAAAATAAAACTTTAAAGTCTAGCTGAATAGGTGGGGTCCAGGTAAAAGCGGGATCCCTTGTCCCAAAATACGAGGTAGAGAATGACGAAGGAAAAATCACTGGCCTTGAACTCTGACCTTCACAGCGCACACCCGTGTATGCACGCAAACGCACACCAATGGTTTTTAAATTTCTTGGGTAAAACAGGCCTTGAGTGACACAGGTCTAAGAAACACTGCTGCCTGGGGCCATTTTATTGGCAGGTGAAAGGCAAAGACACGAGTCAGGCACTCATACCCAGCTGTTACCTGAGCCTGTGGTCCACCTCTGCCTGGTTGGAGGGGACCAGACCCCACAACTCCTCTGTCATGCATTCATTGACCCACTGCAGAGCCGTGCTCACTGCCAGGTGTCGTTCTGTCTCCTCGGCGTCTGCCACCTCTGGCGGGGCGTTCTCTGCGACTTCAAAGTGCGCAGGTATCACCACAGAACAGATGTACTGGCAACGACACAAACGGGTTCCACACTTTCTTCGCCTCTCCCAGGAGACAGGAAACTGAGTTCATTTAGCATTTAACATTAATGGTATTTTATCACCTACTTCAAGGAAGAAAACAACACATAATTTTTCTCTATATTTGCATTCTGTTGAAATATTGAGAAATTTGACTTCATGAACCATTTCAAATTATTCTCTTGATAAAATACTGGTCTAAAAGTCCCACACTGAACTTTCCCTAACACTACTTCTCCAAAAATACTAGCTACAATTTACCCTTATTCTTCTCCTCTCACAGGCTGTGGCAATTTTATTTATAAAAGGTAGGTAACCACATGAATTAAACAGTTAAATTGTTTTTTATTTTTAAATTTACTTTTATTTTCTTGAGATAGAATCCATGAAGGGACTCTAGCCAGCCTTGTCCTTCTCCCCCATTTCCTCTGCCTTCTAAAATTCCTTAGATGATATTCCTAAAGCTGCCCACCAAGGTTTATGCCCTTATTTGGCCACTTCCTCCTCCTAAGGCTAACTACCAAGGTTCAGCTATTAAAGTACCAAAGTCCAGCAATCAGAAGCTACCTTTGGCTCACCTAATTAACATGTCCAATTAAAATAAAACACCTCATCCTCCTAACATGGGGTTTCCCATTTTGCCTTTATTAAACCGCCATTTGCCAATGGGCTATGCCTGCCCTCTCCCTGTCCAGAGGCAGTCCTTTGTCCTCCTGAGACAAACACCCCTTCCCCTTCTCCCTCTATCTCCCATCTTTGTCTCTTATTCCCTGCCCTTTGTCCTTCTGGGACAAATAAGTCTCCTAAGAATCCCGAGCCACTACTGGTCCTTAAGTCTCAAGTAGCTCGGGCTGGCTTTGAACTCACTAAGTGTAACAGAAGATCGCCTTCAACTGCTTACTGGTCCTCCTGGCCTCTACCTGCTGAGTGCTGGAATTAAAGCAGTGTACCACGACATCCAGCCACTAAAATTATTTACATTGTTTTCTTTGCTTAAATCATTATTCTACATATTCTCGAACACATAAACCCAAATGTAGACATATAGAATGCATTGCATTGAAATGTCAGGACATTAAAGGTATTTTCCTTTCCTTTCCTTTCTCTCCTTGGGATTGAATTCAGGTTAGCATGTCATGACTTTTATCAAAGCCACACTACATTGCTGATTCTATGATTCAAGCATATATGATACTCGTGAATAAGAAGCATATGGATGAACATGTATCTGCTTCACAAATATTGAATCCCAAAACATTACGTTTTTGCAGTTTGGATATTCTTGCTACTAAGTACAGAGCTGGGTAGGATACATTAAAGAGCAATGTTGAGCTGCCTCATACCTTGGGGAAGTTTTGGATGGTGCAGGAGATTTCCACCTGGAGAGTAGGAAGTCCCAGTCCATCCAGTATGATTTTTCCTGCTACTTTGCATATGGAGGGAGGCTTTGCAAGTTTAGAAAAGTAGTTTGCCTTCAAGACACACACAAAAGCAAAAATCAGGAAACCGCATCGGATTTATCTTACAAAGGCCAGGCACACTGACTCTCTGTCCTACAACACTTCCCAGATCTGGATGAGTTCCACACCTCTGCTAGGACAGCCCACGCTGGAGCGGAGTCTCCAGCCCAGGGGGTGCTGTGTTGTATTCTCATTGATCTCTCATCAGGAATGCAGAGAGCCATCTTCATCAGCAGACCTAGTACCCCTAACCCTAGTGAGTTCAAAGTCAACCAACTCCCTGACACTTCTTTCCAAGTCATGGAAGTTACTGATCTTTACAACAGCATGATGCGTTCAGATTGAAGAAATCTGAAGGGGGCTGATTTTATCCCACCCCGCCCCACCCCACCTCTCACTCCCAAACAGGCGTCTGGCTTCTGAAGAGTGAAGTTAAAGACAACAACAGTCTTGCCTGTCATCGCTGATGTATAGTCTACCTCACTAAAAGGCCTCTGGGGAGTCTTAGTAATTCCAGTTTCTCTTAAGTGGCAGAGCACAAGTCATTTGGAAGGGATCCAAGATCGATGCGTGTCCTGGGCAGGGTGACCTGAGTGGTATAAAAAAGCGGGCTGAGCAAGCCATGGGTAGCAAACCAGTAAGCAGCACTCCCCCATGGCCGCTTCTTCGATTCCTGCTCAGACGACGTTGCTCACGGCAGACTATGAAATGGAAAGGTAAGCCAGGCGAACCCTTTCTTCCCTAAGTTGCTTTTGGTCGGAATGTTGTAAAAAAAAAAAAAAAAAAAAAAAAAAAACAATAGAAAGCGAACTAGGGCCGTCCCTAACCAAGGTACGGGAGATTCCAGAGAGCTGGACAAACCAGTGCCAAGCTGCTAAGCACACTGGGGAGACCATCCCACGTGGAAACAAAAGTGCGAGTGTCTAGCTTTGCACACTGAGTGCCTATGAGACAGGGTTTGGTGTCCTTTTAAATTGAGACCAGAGAACGTTAACAGCTCCTTTAGCAAGAGGCCTTAGGGACTGAAGTCCTTATCATGCCTTCACCCACTTCACAAATGTTCCTGTGTACCACTGTCACTTAAATACCCGAGGCACAAGTTCTTTAGTTAGAAAGAGGAATTGGGTGTTTTTGGTCTTGTTTTAACCATGCAGAGAGTTTCTAGAGACTGAGATAGCAAAGTGGTACCCTAACTCACTATCCCCAAAACAGTCTCTGAGGCACAGGGCTCCCCTCTTAACAATAGCTCAACAGCCAACTGGAGGAGGCGACCTGGGAGAGCTCAAGGACGCTAAATCCAGAGCCCTGTGGAGAGGGCCTCCAGCGAAATCTGCAGTTTTGGTATTCACTGGCCCGTGAAGTTGGGTACCTAGCCAAAGAAGGGTGCATGAGGTATGCAAACCCTGGTGCCTAGGCTTGGCATCTGAGAAATCTGGAGGCAGTAGAAGCCAGGAATGAGGCTCTGGGGTGGGCTGCGGCCTAGTCACAGCTCAGTCCCGATCCTTGACAAAAGCAGCAGAGGCGAATTTGGCGTTCAGGTCTGTGTTTTAGAAAACCAAAGACGGGCGGGCTCCCTGCTTCGTAAAGAAGCCCGCAAGTTCGGGACAGCCTCCCAGGCTACAGGGCCGCCCAGTGTCCCCCTCGACTCTCGCTTCTGCGCCTCAACTTTCGGTCCCCGGGGTAACGTATACCGGCTTCCCTCTCCGCATCCTCCCAGCTCGGGTCACTGACCGCCTGGCCCCAGCAGCGCGCAAGCGCGACTCCACGGCGCAAGCGCAGCGCGCTGCCGCAGCGTGGGCCGGAGGGGAGGGGGAAGGAGGGGAGCTGGCCGCAGGTCCCTACCAGGTGCCCGTAGACGTCCGCGGGCTGGAGGTAGAAGGTGGAGTTGAGCAGCTCTTCCAGCCTGCGGGGGACGTCATTCTCCTGGTAGTACGCCATCGCCTGCTGCTTCAGCTTCTGCAGGTCCCTGGTGATCCCACAGCCGCGGCCGCTGCCTTCTTCCCCCATGGTAGGACTCTCAGGGCTCCAGCAGGGGTTTCGCTAAGGGGGCCCGCCAGCGTCTTTTGGTCGCTAGGCAACGCAACGAGATTCCCGACCCCTAGATCTCGCGAGGCTTACTGCCCTCAGTGCAAGGAACCCTTTGCTTTCCATCGTTATCCCGCGCTCGCTTCTTTGCGCTTCGTTCTCAGTGTTCTTCCAGCCTCATTTGTTAGTGTTTCTCCCAGACCGGGGAAGCATTTAGCGATTGTTTGAGTTCGTTTTGCAGAAGCTGGGGAGCGGTACCCGCTACTTTTATCTGTTCCTTAAGGCGGAGAAGGGATGCAAGAACCCAGGGTGCCCTTCCTGAGCCGTGGAGGTCCCGGGAAAGCATCCATTCCAACCCATCAGCGTGCTTGCCGCACGCCTCGTGATCCTCTCAGAAACAGCTTTGCACACCCTTCCCGGGGAGATTACTGAGGGTGAATTCTCTGCGAGGAAAACTCTATGTAGGCAGTAAGGATAGTTAGTGATGCTTTGGAGAGACCCAGGGTGCTGGTGGAGGTGACGCCGAAGCAGCGCTTGGGAAGGTCATTGGGTCCATGGCCTCTGCAGAGGGCTCCCCGTATCCTGTGCCAGTCTGGAACCATACGCAATGATAGAATTTACTGTGTTCTAGATACTTTGATGGCGCAGGAGTGGGCCGAGACAGAAGGGGACAGGGTGTTCTCATTTTACCGTTGCCTGTTTTATGTTCCCAACAGAAAGCGGGTTGCTTAAAAGTTCTGTGCCTCCGTTGCTCTTCTAGAAAGCATAATCCTACCTGTCCCGTCTGCTTGCAATCACTTAAAATAACCCCGAGAGTGAAGAAGCATTTGGGAACAGTTGTTTTCCATAGTTGTACTGTTGGGTGTGTAGGTGACTAAAATATGGGAGTCTGTACTGTTACATAACCCGGACCGACACCTCCACCTCCCCTCTTCTGGACTCGCCAAGCGATCTCTCTCTCTCTCTCTCTCTCTCTCTCTCTCTCTCTCTCTCTCTCTCTCTCTCAGAATGATTTCCTTTCTGTGGTGTGATGGATCGTCACACTCTTGACCTACCCTCCTGGCTGACTGCAAGTCCTTTGATGGTGGAAGCGGAGGCTGAATCACCTTCCTGTCCACTGCAGAGCTAGCTGCTGACGGCTGGTTTTTTAGAAGATCCTTATATAAAATGAGTCCCTAGTGTTGCCACTGCTTCCATCCCTCTGCCCTTCCTCCTAGCCGCCCACCTCCAGTTGTAGACACCGCCTTCATCCATTATGGTATGTGTGGGTCCTGTATCCTAAGGAAAACGATGCTCTACATCCACATCCCCAAGAGCCTGTTCTTTTTTCTGAACTCCTTGCCCACTTGAATCCTGGACCTCAAATCTCATCCCTTAGGGCTGACCCATTTGACTTTCTTCTTTTCATTGTTCCTCAGCTCAGCTTAGTTCTTTGGGCTTACCATCTGGATGCAGCTACTGAACTAACTTTATCTCCAGACCCTGTTTAATTTCTTTTTCTTTTCTTTCTTTTTAATGGGAGACTTTTTATGTATCCTAGGATGGCCTCAAACTGGCTGTGTAGTGGAGGATGGCCTTGAACTTCTGGTCTTTCTTCACCTACCTCCTGAGTTCTGGAATTACAGGCGTGAACCACTATGTCTGGTTAATGTGGTGCTGGGAATGGAACCCCAGCCTTCTCACATGCCAGGCAAGCAGTCTACCAGTTGAATTATACCCTCATTTAATATTTTAATGAAAGACTGGAATTGTTTGGACTCGGACCACTATGTAACGGGTTTTTCCCTCTCTTACCCACTGGCCTCTGTGTTTCATGAGGACAGGGATTGCGTGTCTTATTCAATTCTGCATCCACAGCTTCAACTCTAATTGATTAGATGTTCAGCAAATAGTTATTGGATAAGTGAATGGGTTTTGCACATAAAAGTCACAATAAATCCTTAGCTAGCAAATGTTTTGGAGTTGGGTGGATAATAATTACCCTGTTTCATAAATGAGAAACGGGGATAGATACTTAGCCTGTAGAGAAATTGTTAGAGAATTATACCATTCTGCATTTCTAAAAATATAGGCTAGACAAGACAGAAGTGGTTGACTGGCCACACTAGCAAGTGTGATGCATGTTCGGGTCTACAGAAAGCAGTGGATCCAGGTAGAGAAGGATGTAGAAAGGTTAAACACTAAGGTTGCCCTTGGGAAAAGATGGGGGAGAAATAATGTAGAGAAAGGATGAGCAGGCTGGGTGAGAGGGTAGAGGTCGGGGAACTGAAGGAGACTTGAGGGAGTGTAGCGTTCTCTTGAGAGGAGTGTGGAGCTGTCAAGAGTGGGCACACACACAGGGCAGTGTGGTCAAGAGTGGGTACACACAGAGCAGTATGATCAAGAGTGGGTACACACAGGGCAGTGTGGTCAAGAGTGGGTACACACAGGGCAGTGTGCTCAAGAGTGGGCACACACAGGGTAGTGTGGTCAAGAGTGGGTACACACAGGGCAGTGTGGTCAAGAGTGGGTACACAGGGCAGTGTGGTCAAGAGTGGGTACACACAGGGCAGTGTGGTCAAGAGTGGGTACACACAGGGTAGTGTGGTCAAGAGTGGGCACACACAGGGTAGTGTGGTCAAGAGTGGGCACACACAGGGCAGTGTGGTCAAGAGTGGGCACACACAGGGTAGTGTGGTCAAGAGTGGGCACACACAGAGCAGTGTGGTCAAGAGTGGGTACACACAGGGCAGTGTGGTCAAGAGTGGGCACACACAGGGTAGTGTGGTCAAGAGTGGGGCACACACAGGGCACTGTGGTCAAGAGTGGGGTACACACAGGGTAGTGTGGTCAAGAGTGGGCACACACAGGGCAGTGTGGTCAAGAGTGGGCACACACAGGGTAGTGTGGTCAAGAGTGGGCACACACAGAGCAGTGTGGTCAAGAGTGGGTACACACAGGGCAGTGTGGTCAAGAGTGGGCACACACAGGGTAGTGTGGTCAAGAGTGGGGCACACACAGGGCACTGTGGTCAAGAGTGGGGTACACACAGGGTAGTGTGGTCAAGAGTGGGCACACACAGGGCAGTGTGGTCAAGAGTGGGGTACACACAGGGTAGTGTGGTCAAGAGTGGGTACACACAGGGCAGTGTGGTCAAGAGTGGGGTACACACAGGGCAGTGTGGTCAAGAGTGGGGTACACACAGGGCAGTGTGGTCAAGAGTGGGTACACACAGGGCAGTGTGGTCAAGAATGGGGTACACACAGGGCAGTGTGGTCAAGAGTGGGTACACACAGGGCAGTGTGGTCAAGAGTGGGGTACACATAGGGCAGTGTGGTCAAGAGTGGGCACACACAGGGCAGTGTGGTCAAGAATGGGGTACACACAGGGCAGTGTGGTCAAGAGTGGGTACACACAGGGCAGTGTGGTCAAGAATGGGGTACACACAGGGCAGTGTGGTCAAGAGTGGGTACACACAGGGCAGTGTGGTCAAGAGTGGGCACACACAGGGCAGTGTGGTCAAGAGTGGGCACACACAGGGCAGTGTGGTCAAGAGTGGGCACACACAGAGCAGTGCTGGCACTCGCCTTTAATCTTAGCACTTGGGAGACAGAGGCAGGCAGAACTCTCAGTGTGAGACCAGCCTGGTCTACAGAGTTGCTTCCTGGACAACCAGGGCTACACAGAGAAACTCAGAAAACAAAACAAAAACAAGAGTAGGACATATGTATGACCTGGAGTCACTGCATCGTGTGCACTGTGCTATATGCCCGCTGGCCTAGAGTCTGGGAATCCTAGAGAAAAAGGGTGTGGGGGGTCTGAAGACATAGCTAGAAGATATCTTCATACCATAACAACCTGAAGGTGGAGATGTTGACAGGAGGGAAATGGGCCAGAGTCTTCTTGAAATTGGAGCTGAGTGCTACGGAAGGATTGAGGACACAGGAGGAGGGCAGCAGCTGTAAGAGGAAACAGACAAAGTGAGCTTAGAGCAACAGCCCCAAAGGCAAGGGGAGAGACTTGGTGGTGTGCCAGGTGTGTGTGCCTCTGCACCCATATGCACACAGAGGACAGCCCATGCACACACAGGATGGTCCGTGCTCACACAGGACAGTCAGTGAGCACACAGGATGACCCGTGTACTCAGAGGACAGCCCGTGCTCACACAGGATGGTCCGTGCTCACACAGGATGGTCCGTGCACACACAGGATGGTCCGTGCTCACACAGGATGGTCCGTGCTCACACAGGATGGTCCGTGAGCACACAGGATGGTCCGTGTACTCAGAGGACAGCCCATGCTCACACAGGACGGTCCGTGCATACACAGGATGACCTGTGCATACACAGGACAGCCTGAAAAGATGGTAGTCATGCTGCCCTTAGGCACTGGTTCACTGGAAGCTTTTCTTTTTATATATTTTTCTTTAAATGAATTACCTTTATGACTGAAATTACAGTATGCTGGAGGGAAGGCTGAAGTCAAAGCTTAGAGGCAGGTTGACTACTTGGAAAAGGTTCTTAGTGACTTAGTTGCTTCCTTACGGACTCATCTTCTCTAAAAGAAAACTGTGTTATGTCAAAGAAGCACAGGTAGCCCTCTGTCTACTTCCTCCAGTCAGTCAACAAAGATTTCTTGACTATTTGTCACACGCCAGGTACTCTTCCGGAGCACTGAGGCTCTGATGACATTGCAGCTGCCATCGGTACACTGAAATCAGAGACCGACAACTCACCTGGAAACCTGTGCACTAGACTTACTAACAGCCTGTCGGTGTGGCCAGGTTCCAGTCAAAAGACTGTTCGTTGATATTCCAATTTTATTTCCCATTGGTAGGTATTTGGGAATATTGGGAGTTTGGCTACAAAGTACACTCAGATGTATGCAAATTGTACTTCAACTTCACATCTCTGTTTTAATACCTTGGTGATTCTTTTCCCGTTTCTACTGAGACTCAGTGTCTAAGGACTCTTCTGCAGCATCAGAGCACGAAAGGAGTTGGTGTGAGGTTAGTCCTAAAAATACCGAGCTGGAGAACCGGAGGTGGGAGAGAAGAGAAGGCAAGGCACAGAACAGCAGGAAAGGCTCAGGGATTGTGAGAGTGCCTGGCACAGACAGGAAGAGAAGGTGGGGCTGAGCCTCCCTTTAGAAAGAGACCATACATACAGCATCCCGTGGATGTCCCCGGGAGCTGCATGGAGAGTGTGAGGCGAGGGCGGTTTTGAAATGAGAGCTTCTACACCAGAATTTTGAGATGTGCATCTCAGTACACAGAGGTCTGGACAGGTAGTGTTTTCTAACCCTTTTGAGTGCGGAGACCCCTTCCCACAGCTTTTCTCTTTTTGGTTTGTCGAGATGGGGTTTGTCTGTGGGGCCCTGGCTGTTTTAGAACTCGCTGTGTAGACCAGGCTAGCCTCAAATTCACAGAGCTCTG